TCCGAATGTATTTCTGCGATGAAAAACAGCTTCTCATAAACATACAATCGCCGTTAGACTTGTATCAGATTCTATAAAATTGTAGTGTTATGAGCACAATCACTATAATGGGCAGATAAATTATCAGATTTATATGTTGCAAAAAATCTAATTGAATTATAGGCAAATATATAGTCAAAATCTTTAGAGATAAATATTTCAAGGGATATTTTACAAATGTTAGTTTCGCATTATTTCAATAGAATAGTTATTAAATTTTAGCAGTATAATGCTCATTTCGCAATTGTTCATATGCGTTTTTATTTATTGCTAAAATGAAATGAGAATAGTTATCAAGTCAATAAAAAATTTTAAATAAAAAGAAAAGCACTGGCCACTTTACACTTATTTATTAGGTAATTGTGCAACTTGTGGCCGCTGTGGTGTAGTGGTAAGCAGTGCGCGCTTCTACTACGCAGCACCCGGGTTCAAACCCTGGTCAAAGCAACATCGCAAAAAATATAGAAGAAAGGTTTTTTCTTAACAGCGGTCGTCCGTCGGCAGGCAATGGCAAACCTCCGAGTGTACTTCTGCCATGAAAAAACAGCTTCTCACAAAAATGCAATCGCCGTTCGGAGTCGGCGTAAAACTGTAGGTCCCTCCGCTTTGTGTGACAACATCAAGGCGCACGCCACAAGTCGGAGGAGAAGCTCGGTCAAACACTAACATATGTGTAAGCGCCAATCTGTTATTATAATTGTGCAACTAAGTCAGCTTCGTTTTCTTTTTTCCATATGGAATCAGTATGATATCGACAATACTAAGAAAACATGTTACACATCCTTTGGAAAGGGTGCTTTTTAATTACGACGTAATAGGAGTTCTTAACAACTTTTTCGCTAACTTGGAACGTATCCTTTTATACTAATTTATTTACTGTCGTTCAGAACTTAATCGGCCAAAATAAATCAAGGAAAGCTGATATGTTTGTACTTTTATGTTGAAATATCGAAAACTGTTTTTAGATTCGTGAAAAATTCTTCGACAAAAGTAGCAAAATATTAAACACAAAATGCTTGGATATGATAAGAATTAGTGTCAGAAGCAGCTGACAGATATAGTGAATACCAATAATCACTAATATGTTCAAAATTTGAAAGAAAAAAAAAATCGGGCTGGTTTACTTTCCTGTAGAATTGGCCATGTGTATGTGTGTATATTGGTTTTGAGACAAAATAGATATGTAACGTAGGTTTCGCTCCTCCAGTGTGGCCCAGGCGCACTTACATTTTTTATGTTTTCTTCGCTTGAAAACTTTGGCAATGTAATAGGTTGAGAGCAATAATTTATTTTAATATGGATTCGATCTCCGGTAATTGTTTTAACATAAAAATTTTAAGTATATTTAAAAAAATATTTTCCATTAATTTAATTTTTTTTCGCGTTTTGGGACGACGTTTCCTGGTAGAAAGCTCGTAACAAGAAGATTCTGACAGCTCGGAAGCCTTGTGACAAATTTATCATTTAAAATTTTTGAGCGTGAAGAATGACACTGACTGAAAATATATATGTATGTATCTTAGAAAATTATTTTGTGCTTATTTCTTTCGAACCGAAAAAATTTGCCGTCTTATGACAAAATTAGGAATGGCTGAATGCTTCTAAGTGCGTTGGATAAAAAATGAAAAACAACAACAATAGTAAGTTTAGTTTCATGAATAATTTTATTGAGTAAACTTATGGTTTAAGGTGTAAATACAACTTTTGGAGATGTATTGACTGCCAAAATTTACACTAAATATTGTCTAAACAAACAAGTATTTTAACAATCGACAGAAAAAAGATTGTTAACAATTTTGTTATGATTAATTAAAAAAAAATTAAAATCGGCCACGAAATGACGAATATAGAGCGTCTAAGGGTACATGCGCGCGTTTTTTTGGAAATCGGACCACTGTGTTATCATTAAAATTAAATATTTTTTCGTGTATGTAGATTTGCTGGAAATAAAATTGGATGAAAACATTGCAAAACGTGTGAAAATAATAAAAATTATTACAATCAACACTCAATCAACATTGTACCGTCCACTCCATTTTTTCTCGGTGCCGCCTTGATACATTAAATACTTTAAAGCCACTGTAGTACTCAGAAAACTGAACACGATTTTTCATAAATTACTAGTAAAATATTCAAAAATTCTTTGTAAAACAAACTTATGTATGTATAACTATTTCTGTTACATTTCCGCTTACTGCTTCAAATTTAAAATGAAAACCAGTTTTCGAAGGTTCTGTTGTTTTGGTGGCACTCCGTTAACATGGAAAGATAAATTGCATAGGTAGATTTGTATGTAGTTTAATCGCATTCATTTGTTTTTGTGTTGTAGATGTGCTAATTGGTGGTGAAAATCCATGATGTGTGAACTAAAAGTCAAATTTTGTTGTTTGGATTTTCAACTTGCATATACGAGATAATGATAGTAGCGGTACTCATATAATACCTAAGCAAATACATACATATGAATGTACGAATATCTATGTATGTATGTACATATGATTACACTGGATCACAAATTTTAGTATGGTTTTTATTCTCCAAATGCCACTATCTAATTTCTATGTAGAATTGCTCGGTGATTCTGAAAATCGAGTTAATTTTTTTCTATGGATACGTTTTCGAAATATTTGCAATTTACCGTTATTCAGCTTAAAACAAAAAGTGGTTCCACTTAACCACGTCTATCCTACGAACCAATTTAACAATCTGAAAACGAGATACGGCAATTGAAAGCTAACAAAATACTCCATAAACCATGTATACATCACTTTACAATGAAATCAATATACATATAAAGAAAATCGATCGATAAATAAAGAAATAATAAGTGGTCAAATGAAAATACGCAAAGATTTTTTTTACATGAAAAAAGAGTTAGGGAATAATGTTACTCATACGCCATGTAGACCTAAGTAGCCCGCTTTTATGCTCATATTTCATGTCAAAAATCTTTGCGTATTTTCATTTAACCACTCATTATTTCTTTATTTAGCGATCGATTTTCTTTATTAGTAACTTGATTTCATTGTAACAGAACAGGCTTTAGCACAAATGCAAAAATATGGCACAGAGTCTGTTATTTTTTTAATTTTTCTTCAGTTAAAGTAAGCTTTTTTTCATTTTTTCACTAAAAAGTAAAAAACTGGAATGATTAGTTAATTTGTCAGAAACTATCAGTCGTATCGGAATGTGATGTATATATGATTTATGGAGAATTTTATTGCCTTTCATTTGCCGTATCTCGTTCTAAGACTGTTAAATTGGTTTGTAAGATGTACGTGATTAAGTGGAACTACTTTTTATTTTAAGCTGAATAACGGTAAATTGCAAATATCTCGAAAACGTATCCATTGAAAAAAAAATTAACTCGATTTTCAGAATCACCTAGAAATTCTAAATAGAAATTGGATAGTGGCATTCATTGAATATTTTCGCTGTAAATCAGTGTTATTTTTAACTGACTAAAGTTAGGAGGCCAATGCGAGCTCCAGTGACCCCACGGATCAGGAGTTACGCAGATGACAGTGATGACAAGACCGAATAAACGTTAAGGGCTCTGTTTCCGAGACATCAAATAACCGTCGCACAAAACATATTTGCGACATTTGATTTTAATCAGAGCCCTCCAACATTTAACGCATAACGTTTTGAAAGCATAAACATGTCTACCTTCATCTATACATATGTTTATACATACAAATGCATGCTCATAGATGGTCGGCACGTCCATTCTATAGCTAAATAGTACATACAAACTTGCATGCCAACATTTGTTTGCTGAGTTACATGTGGCCAAGCCACTGCCGAGTTTCGTTTGAAGCCAAATTTACAATTCAGTCGTTGTCGAGGTTTTGAAGCCAGCGGTTGTAAATAGTGAATGTCGAGTACATACATAAAAATCTAAGCTCACTTTCAAATCTCACACCAAATTCCGTTGGCGCTGCGGAGAAATTTGCGAAGCAAAAAATAAAATAAAAAATTTTACGTGAAAAACACAGATAAATTTCCAACTTTGCATAAATCATAAAGAAAATAATAATAGTTGGTTATAAAATGATTAATGACCTATAGTTGTGTGTTAGGTTACTATTTGATTGGACGATTTGACTTGCAAAAAATTAAATGTGTACATATAAGCATAAGTAAATATTCGGAAGCATAAGCAACGTACAATTATTTGCAAATTGGGTCTAACATAAAACGATTTGTCGGCCGTCCACAGCAGTCACTGTACGCAATCGCGCGTGTATCATTCGCGAATTGTTGTTGCATTTGCTTTTCCCTCCCGCTTTGTAACTGTAATTTCATCACGAAAAAGAAAACAACGAAGTTGCAACCACACCAGCTACTAACGGGTGATTTTTTTGAGGTTAGGATTTTCATGCATTAGTATTTGACAGATCACGTGGGATTTCAGACATGGTGTCAAAGAGAAAGATGCTCAGCATGCTTTGACATTTCATCATGAATAGACTTACTAACGAGCAACGCTTGCAAATCATTGAATTTTATTACCAAAATCAGTGTTCGGTTCGAAATGTGTTTATTTATGGTCTACATAATCGACCAAGTGAGCAAACAATTAATGCGATTGTGACGAAGTTTCGCACTCAGTTTACTTTATTGGACATTAAACCAACCACACGAATGCGTACAGTGCGTACAGAAGAGAATATTGCGTCTGTTTCTGAGAGTGTTGCTGAAGACCGTGAAATGTCGATTCGTCGCCGTTCGCAGCAATTGGGTAAAGCGTAAAGCGCGAAACACATTTCGAACCGAACACTGATTTTGGTAATAAAATTCAATGATTTGCAAGCGTTGCTCGTTAGTAAGTCTATTCATGATGAAATGTCAAAGCATACTGAGCATCTTTCTCTTTGACACCATGTCTGAAATCCCACGTGATCTGTCAAATACTAATGCATGAAAATCCTAACCTCAAAAAAATCACCCGTTACGACGAAATCTTTTACAAAGTCAGTGAATTGCATTAAAATGATTGCTGCCACCAGAACGGAATCGTTGCGTCTGCTTCACATGGAAAATCCTTTCAAAGCAATTTTTCAATTTGTCTGGGATTTATTGGTGTTTTTCTTGAAGGCGACCTTCTTTACATTGGAGTCCATTTATTATTCTTTGATACCGGATCGTTTCAGGAAAATTAAGGTATGTTTTTCATTTCCTTTGAGCAAATGTCTTATGTTTCATAAGACCAATAACCATTTTTGAAAATTTAATCGAAAGATTTAAGACACGAACTTTCTTCATTTTTTAATTAGACCTACATATCGCACACCTAGATCTAAAGGGAGTTAACTCAAAATTCAGAGAGGAAAATATAACTGATTGTGGATCGTACAGATTCAAAGGAATTATTGCAATACGGGTATAACAGTGGTTTTTTAGTTAATGTATATAATCATGAAGACAAACATATTTACATTAACTGGATGTAAGTCCTCTGAATTAATTTATGCAAAAAAATCGCCTTAAATTTTTTCTTTAGTTGATCGCACTTTAGATCTCGGTGTGCGATATGCGCGTGGCGCGTGATAAAAACTCAAATATTCATGAAGTTAAGTGAGAATGTGAAATTTTTCAAAATATACACAAAATATTTTCAATAAGTGAAATAAATATCTGAAAAAGGTTATAAAAAATAGTTTGTTCGCATCAAAGATCTTATTTTCATAAAGTGCATTCAGTTTTTAGCAGACCCTGAAAATTGCAAGTTTTTGACAAACTAGTTTTTCTTTAATTTATTTTCAAAGAAACCCTTCCCAAATTTTTTAAATGCCAACAAAAATTAAACTCATAAATAATTTGAAAAACGACTTCTGAAAGCATTTAGAGAATATCCTGAACTACCTATTTCCGGAAAAATGATTCAACAGTTTGACAATGAGGATAAAGTGATATATTTCGCGAGTGCTACATAGTTTTAATTAGTTATAAACGCTTCAGTTTCTATTATCGTGGTGATTAAGGATTAGAAAATTGTAAATAAAATGCTATATTTTGAATGCATTTATATTAGAAGTGGAAAAAGGCGTTTTTGCGTTTGGCAGCAAAATGAACTATTTAAAACCACAAGCAGAAGACATAGTTAAAATAAAAACTCTGATACAAATGAGTAGTAGCCCGGAAAAACACAACTCGAAGTTTGGAGTACGACTGGTTTTATAAAGATTTTATAACGCTCTTCTCACAGACTGTGCTCTTATAAGGATTATATAAGGCTCTGCATGTAGACATATTTTATAAGTCTCTTTTTTTTTTTTTTTAATTAATCCCAACGGCTTTTTACCCTCCATTCCCGCTCAACCGACACGAGGGGCGCAGTCCGCATGACGTACGGAACCTTTTTTTTTTTTGTTTTTTTTAGTTTTTTCGTGCCGAGTAGTGGAAACAGGAGTTTGTTAAGTGTCGAGATCTAAAACTATTCAGCTACAGAATCAAATTCATCAGCTGATTGGATATGCTAAAGATAGTATTTCAATTATTGAGAGTGGAAATAATAGTTTTCTTTATAGTAAAAATCGAGTCCGATACGTCAAACGTGCTGGAATGACAGTTAAAATCTTGACATAAACCACGGAATGATTCGTTTAGTTCAAAATTAGTTTTGCATGGCTTTAAAAATAGAGGTCGAAAGTGTCTTGACACTCGAGAAGGAACATTAAAATTTACCTCAGCCAGGAGGGCCGGGCTATTAATCAAGCCTGTCATTAATTTTACGATAAATATTATACCCAGCATTTCTCTACGACTTGCGAGTGTAGGCAAATTTATGAGCTTTAGACGACTTGTGTAAGGGGGGAGATTGTAATCTGAATCCCAGTTAAAATTACGCAATGCAAAAAGCAAGAATTGTTTTTGAATTGATTCAATCCTTTCTGAATGAACTTGGTAGCGGGGATTCCAAACAATAGATCCGTATTCTAGTATAGGTCTAACTAAACTGGTAAAAAGAGCTTTTGTAACATAAGGATCTTTGAACTCTTTTGACCATCGCCTTACAAATGCAAAAACGCCTTTGGCTTTATTGACTGTAACATTAATATGATGGTTGAAATTGAGTTTGGAATCCATTGTGATACCAAGATCGACAAAATTGGATACCTGCTCCAGATTATAATTTGATATTGAATAAACAGCTGGTTGAACAGCCCTCCGAGAGAAACACATAACCTTACATTTTTGAAGGTTTAGTGGCATATAGTTTGTATTACACCAACTAACCACGTTGTTCAGATCTGCTTGTAGCAAAGACCTTTCTTCGATAGAGGACAATGTTTTAAAAAGTTTCACATCATCGGCATACATTAAAATTTTTCAATGTTTTATTATAGAAGAAATATCATTAATGAATATCAGGAACAGAATCGGACCAAGGTGGCTTCCCTGAGGAACTCCTGAAGAAACTTTAATGATGTTGGAAGAACAATTATTAACAATAACTCTTTGTGTTCTATCAGAGAGGTAAGATGAGATCCATTGAAGAAGACTGGGCTGAAAGCCGATTAGGTCGAGTTTACGGATGAGTAACGAGTGACATACTTTGTCAAAAGCTTTACTGAAATCGGTGTAAATTACGTCGGTATGAGCATTTTCTCTAAAACCGTTTGAGACATGAGTTGTAAACTCCAATAAATTAGTCATAGTAGATTTTCCTTTAGAAAACCCGTGTTAAGATTGTGTAATTGAAGAAGATATAGAATATGTCAGCTGGTTAACAATAATTGCTTCGAATAATTTGGGGATAGCGGAGAGTTTCGCTATGCCTCGATAGTTTTCTATAGACGACCTGCTGCCGTTTTTGTGAAGTGGTATTATGAAAGACTCCTTCCAGGCTGACGGAAAAACGCCATGTTTAAGTGACAAATTGAATAGAGTTGTTAAAGGCTCGCAGATGTTCTCAGCGCAGTTTTTAAGAAAACAGGTCGGAATATGATCAGGTCCAGGCCTAAATGACGCTTTTAAGGTTTTTAAAGAGTGTAAAACTTCATCGGAAGATATTACTGGAATATAAGCAGAGTTGATTGGACAAAGCTCGTACGGATAGTCTCCACTTATAGGGAAGTCTACAGAATAATTGGACCTAAAGAACCGAGCAAACATGTTGGCAATGAGTTGGCTGTCGCTAGATACAGTGTTGCTATAATGCATAGCGGACGGAATACCATGTGCCTTACGCTTTGAATTTACGAAACCATAAAATGATTTAGGATTGTTAATTAAATTCTTCTTAATTTTACATAAATATGAATTATTACATTTCTTATTTAATGCAAAGTAGCTATGCCGCAAAACTGAGTACCTTAGGTAATCACTGTGTAAGCCCGTTCTTTTATACTGTTTAAAAGAGTGCGACTTTTTATTTTTCAATTTTTTAAGCTCTTTAGTGAACCATAATTGTATTGGTTCTTCATGAACAATATTACGTATTGGCACATACTTTCGAAACAAATTGAAAACAGTATCATTAAAGTGCTCAACGCTACGCTCCACGTCATCTCTATATATTGGCCAAGATAACTCTCCTCTATACTCCTCTATGATTAGTAAAAATCCTCGACCAATGTAAACTTTTAAATTTCTATAAACTTTCTTCACTAAGAGCGATTAATCAATAGCTTTTTGATGAGTAATTAATCATTAATAAGCATAATTATACACCTCTATAAATTTTCGTGTTTAGAGCAATTTCGCATTCTCTTTTCGAAGTAGGATTTGTCTTCATAAATATTAGTTGTGTTTGATGAGCTGCTCTAGGCTACGCCAGGTTTCATCGCCACAACGGGGGAGGCCACCGCTCCACTCGCTCAGGGGATCGCAGGAAAATCTCATAAAAATTATTTGATAGGGATGTTAATCCCGGGATCCTGGGATTCTTATCTTTTTAAGGCCCGAGTCTCCCGAAAATTTGCTAAGAATCCCGGGATTTTCGGGATTTGTAATTTGCACTGGTGGAAATAATATAAACGCCTCGTGTTGACCAGTGTTTGCTATATTTATTTTGTTTATTTAATATTTAATATTTTTTTATAAATATCTAGCTCACCTACATATGTATATACATTAAACTGCATCACCAAAAAAAGTTGCGGTTTTCCCCCGGGATTACAAAATCTATTGTATTTTAAGATGTCCATCAAAATATTTCCTTGACCGATTTGGCCTCCAAAAATGAAGTTTTTTATGAATAAAAATTGTATATGCTAAGGACTAATATAAACTCGACCAGATCCTCGAATATCGTCCTTCTAACTTTATTAGCTTAAAAAAATAAAATTTATTAATAGAGCATTTTCAATACCTATTCATCATTGTGAACCCAAATAATTTTCTCTTTCATTTGGATCCCATATTTTTATTCTACTTTGCGTTTGAATTGTTTAAATAGTTTTTGGAATTAATAATAAGGGTATTCAGACTACCCTCGTTAATGTATTAATTCGTTATCTGGTAACTCGGTAACACTGAATCAGCTGACGTGAAATTATATTATTTATAAATATTTATTAATTCCACGACAGGAAAATTTATTAAACTTTTCATAAAATTATGCACTTTTCGCGCGAGAAAATTCCGGCAAATAGGGAACAGAAAGGAATCAGCTGACATTTTAACGCGTGTATTACCACATTATCAGATTGCCACTTCGTGATCTTGGTAACGATATATTCGGTAATTTACAAAAACAAAACAATTGTGAGAGTTACCGAATACCTAATTAATGAGTATAGCCTGAATAACCTTAATATACATACATATTTGAAATATAAAGTTATTCAAAAAAAAAAAACATCCTAAAACTGAAGAAGCAGTTTTACTATATTTGGCCCATAGTTTCGTAGGTATATTAATTACTTCGTGTGTTTTATTTTTTTTTCGCTTTGTGTAATTAACTGCCCATACACAAAAGCACATTTCAAAATGTGTACAAAAATTTCGAATTTCAAACTTTTTACTCAGAATTTTTAGACAAATTTTAGGTACGCGATTTTATAGCCCATTAAATTATAGGAAGATAAGGTGCAAGATTCAAGTGGGGTTGTCACGCATTTCCTTCCATACAAAGTATGTTCGACAATTTGTTTAGTATATGGAATAAAATGCCCAGCTTTGTAAAAAAAAAAAATCCCAAAAATCAACGGTATTTT